ACTTCTGGATCCATTGCTTTTCGTAGTAGAAGTAGTAGTAGTAATAATAGTAGTAGCAGCAGCATCAGCATCAGCATCAGCAGTAGCAGCAGCAGCAGCAGCAGCATCAGCATCAGCATCAGCATAGGCAACAGCAGTAGCAGCAGCAGTAGTCGTCGTCGCGGTTGTTGTTGCTGCTGCTGCAGCAGGGACATGTCGTAAGCAAGAGCAGAACGAACAAGACAGGCCATCCACACCATCATATTGTTACATTGCTGCCGTGCTGGTCGACATTGACGTCATGATTCTGATAAACATGAGAAAAACTCAGCTTTGCTGCTTTGACCAAGAGACGTCTCTGCCTTCTGCAAGGAGGGCCCCAAACCGAGAGCTGAGAAGAATTGACACATAGGGGGCGAACAATTGTGATAGAAGATTAGACTGACGCGCAGCCAAGAGCGCAATTGTGAACCAGTGCAAATCCACCTGAAAAAGATGATCGCCAATTGAACATGCTGTGAAAGAGCTTTACTCACTTTAGGCGAGCTCAATTTAAATCAAACGCAATCAAGCGGTTCTCCCTTCAAACTCCTTAACCCTCAGGTCATAGTGCAAGCCTCTGGAGCACCAGCGGCAGCCATTGTCCGCTGAGCAGCCTTTCTACGTCGAACTTGATAGATGCTTGTTAATAACAATAGTACTTTCAATAGTATGAGCCGGGGTACAAGCATTCCACCATTCCACCCACACCACGGTTACTGGCACCACCACTACTACTTGTCATGACTGGTAATTCTGCTTCGGGAGCAGCTGCAGCAACTAATTACTACTACTGCTGCTGCTGCTACTGCTGCTACTCCTGCTCCTGCTGCTCCTGCTGCTGCTGCTGCTGCCTTACTTTCTTCGTCAACATGACTTGTCTTCCTAGAACACGATAACAAGTCTACAGTGCCTGCGCTGGACCTGCAAGCTGCCTGCGAGGGCCTCGATGGCGCAAGACTTGGAATGGATGCGTTCAAGCTGAAGCCAGCGCCAGGTCATTCAGCCGGGTGGCAGATAACTGAGAAATGGTTCCCCATGCGCTGTCGAATTCTTGGAGCCAAAATTTGGTTGCGGATGTCGCAGCAGCTTTCAACATTCTGACCACAACTCTGTGGGTGCAAAGCCACGCAGCTGCAATTGAGACGGGTGTTAACAGGATGCAAATGTGCTCATACATGCTCGTATCAAGCGAGTGCATCAGGCCGTGTCAAGTCTCGCAATGTCTTATGCAAGTGCAGCTAGCCATTCCTCGTCCAACGCCCATGAAAGAAGCTGCTTTTTGGCCTGCAAGTGGAAAATCCATCGGAAGGCTGAAGTGGCTTCACGTTTCGGGAACTGGAGTTGAGGACATGAAGCAAACACCTCGCCGTTAACCCATGTCTCGCCTCTTCAAGTCGCCCGGGGTCCGTCTGCTCCACGCTAGCTTTGGAACTGGGCGAAGAATCACCGCAAAAAGCTTATCATTATTTATTCGAACACGACATCCCCATCACCACACCTGGAGGCTCGCCGGAGCTTGGGCACCAGAAGTTGCAACAGTGATGGCCTTCAAGCCATGAGGTAAATTAAGAGTGGGGCTACTGGCCGCATTGCGACCTCAGCGGATCCTCCATGGGCACAAAGTCCCGCGCGAGCTTCCCTGCAACGCTGAGCCTTCAAGGAGCAAAATCAACAGGCATCACGCGACAGTTCATCGCCAGCATGCCCAGCCTTGTGGGATCAGCGTTTTTATCTAACAGTAGCTCGCAAAGTGCTGCGTCGCCACCGCAGGCAGCCTGCGTAATTTGTTTGCAGACCTTCCGTTGCTTGAGTGTGCAACTTGGCCTCCATCAACGCTGTCTCGCCAGTCAAGTCATCCGCTGCATCAGGGTCTGCCCGAGCCTAACAAACTGTCTGCAGAAACAATATCTCAAATCTAAAAATGCAGAGGAATAATTTGAGAAAGCTCGCTCTCCTAGGCGGCTATGGCGTCCAAGAGCTTCCAAGTTAACCAACCATCTCTGTTGATATCGCTGGATGCCGAAACACCCATACCGACCAATGCTTTTACCCAGGTGCAAGACCACTTGAGGGTTGATGATGTTCATTCGCGATGAGGCAGGGGTGCGCTTGAGAGCTCTAAGTCGCCATCTCTCACCGTGCTGTGTGGTCAGCATCAGCTGCGTTGTCGGCATATTCATAAGACCGACAACCAAGCGCATTGCTGTTTGGCATCACTTTGTCCGCATTGCATCTTGCAATTTCCTCGATCCCACGCCTTCAATAAACATATGGTAACAAAGCCCAGCTATTGGCGAGGGTGCCCTCTGTTGGTTTCTGAAGCTTCTGGCATGACCTTGCAAAAAAGTTTGACAACAAATTGGCCAAGATCGTTTTGGCATTCCTTTGTTTTCCCATTGCTTGAGCGAGGGATGCATGTCAACAGGGTCTCAGTAGGTCCTCGCAGGGAGTGCGGCCCCTAGAAGCCAATATTGCCAAAAGGCCGATATGCCCGATCATGCTGTTTCCTCCACCATACGATGCTCCTGAGTGTGTGATAACATCAGCTTCCGCTGGTTGCCTTGTCTATTTAAGGCTGCTTCCAGCTTTCTACAAATGCAACGGCTTTAGTGGCCTGAGTATGCCTGAGTGCTTCCTTCTTCAAACAAAGCCCGGCAACCTACTACCCGACAGCACACCTAGCCATGCCCTAGAGCAAAAGCGAGGCTCATTTGTGTATCTCATGCGCGATGTAAGCAGCTCTAACCAGTTGGTCGCGCAGCTTGTTTTAATCTGAGCAGAGGGGCTTGTTTCGTCATCTGCAGGATTTCGCGCAGTTTTGCGCGAATGACTCGAGCTCCAAGCCCTGCTACTTCCGGACAGCTTCAAAGCCAGTCTGGACGTTATTGTGGCGTGCTCCGCCATGTCTCAGCACTATGCTGTGCTACAGTTTATATTTGAAATCCTGTGTGACCTACACAAAACCCGTGTAGTTCCCAAGGGTCAGGAAATGCATTGAATACCAATGGTTTGACAGCTGTAAGATTCCACCTCTCTCTTTTCAATGAGGCTCTCAAGGACATAGCAGGTGCCGGAGAAAAACGATGGCCTCTACTGCTGCACTGTCAGGGTCTCTGACTAGCTTCGTGATCCATGTGGTGAAACAAAACAAGCCCTATCTTGCGCAGGAGATTTGCTGCCTGCCAAATGCTACGCTCAGGAGCTGCAGCTTAAATGTAGCTTTTGCTCTCGCGTCAGGCTCTCAATGTCAACCAGCCTCATCCTGCAGACAACTCGCCATTTGACAGGCTTCACATTGTATGAGCTAGCTTGTTGTGTCAGTGGTTGCTGACCGAAGAAAAACATCTGCCTTCTGGAGGATCTGCTGCCTGCTTCTGTCAAGGCTGCTCAGCCTGTACACAGTGCTTGCGGAAAAAGGAGGCACCGCACTGAAAAGGAAGCCGCGCTGCTTTCCGAAAAGCCCAGAAGCTTGCCTCAACAGCACCTGTTCGCCAATTACTCAGCGCATGACGAGTCATGAGCAGAAGTCAAAGTTTTTACTGCCCAGAGCTTCTCTCCAGCCTCTGCCCTCAGCCTTGCGTCTCAGCAGGGCCGCTGCAAGCTTGGACACGCCATGCTGGCCGGGAGAAGTAAACCTCACTCTTGAAACAAGGCCCACAGCAAGTAGCCATGAAAGAACTTTTCGGCCGACTTCCAGCAACGCTTTACTGCGTTTTGCAGCCAACATGGCAGGAACAGTAGAGGCTTACGACTTCGGTCATCATAAGCTTTGCAACGATGCGGGCGAAGTTGAACATTCTAAGATTCGAAGCATCTTACAATATTTTACCTGTCTGAGAGAGACGCCTAGACACTGAAAAGTAAGCAGACGTCCTAATCATTTCAAGTAGCCGGACAGGATGAAGGGGATTCGTGGTGCCATGGGCAAAGCTGGCAAGAGTTGCTCGCCAAAGAAACAGGATGTCAAGGTATCCCTTGCACTTCCCAGCAGATCAGCTCAGCTTTGTTGATGCAAGGCGCTTCCTGACCAACTCCTCCAAGACGGCAACCTCGTCCTCTTCCTTTACCTGCAAGCCTGAAACAAAAAGTATGCAGCAACCCCTCACGCGGCTTCTTGAACATTGACACTGCAGGGTACAGTGGCAACTGCAAAGTGCTCTCACCACTCTCATGTAGCAGTTTAACATCCTCATCACTGCTCTGCCAAGCTGCTCTCGATCTTCTCGAGTTCTTTTGCCAACATCCTGATGCATGCGTGAGTGCAGTTGTGCAAGAAACTTCATTGATGAAAGCGGGCAAACCTTGTCTGGCATGTCAGTATACATGTCAATGCTATTAAAAGTAGTCAAGCCGGTTTGGGTAATTCGAAGGTCATGCAGGTCAGCAAGCAGAAAGTCACACAATTTGCGCGAAGCGTCCGCCGCTGCATTGCCCGCATCTCGGACTTGTTTGATGGCTCCTGCGTCTCTGGTGCCTTCACACAGAGCTTCCATGCCATGCCGCTCCAAACATGTGCAGGAACAGCGCATGTTAGAGGCGTACATGAGAATTACAACAGTGCACAGGCTTCAGCTGAACGCCTTGGCTTCACGCCTATACAAGCGCTCTGTAATGTCGCCCTCACCTGAGAACCGGAGATCAAGCAGAAGCTGGTGTTTCCAAGCCGCTCGGACAAGCAGAGATCTGTGAAGATTGATCTGACATTGCTCAGGAAGCCAAGCATCGCTGGAGCAGCTGCGCTTTTCGGGAAATCTGCGGGCGAAAAGAGTGCTCCTCTTTCTGCCTCAAAGGGCTTGGAAGGCGCTTGTGCGTTCTGGCTGGGCTAAGCCATCCTCATTGCAAGACTATTGCAAGTTTCCCAGTGCTCGATCTAAAGCTTCTCAGAAGAACAGCTGTCGCAGGAGCTGGCAGGCTGGCTGAAGCACTCTCAAGTTGCTACTGTACCTTTACGATGTGCGAGTCCTTTCTTTGCTTGCGCAACTCTTCTGCAAGATACAGGCAAGATTCACGCCGCGAGTCTTGGGCCGCTGATGAACTCGGTCATGCCACGGCTCTCCAGCATCGAGCACGTGTCTGGGCGGCATTTGTTGGTCCATATTCTGCTTGAAAATGCAAAACGCAACATGATGCAAACCGGGGGATTGAGGGGCTGCGCAAGTGTGCCGTGCCATGCGATACACATGTGAGTTCCGCAGCATGTGTCCAATCTTTGAAAGACAACTTGCCGGTCTGCAAGAACTGGCGCATGCACAAGGCCCCATGCTTTGCCGGACTGATGGCCTACACTCTATAATCCACCACAAGCCATACGTTTTTGCTGTGAACTTCCAAGCCCATGCAACAACAAGACTTCCTTCCAGCTGCCTGATGACCCCATTAAACTGCACATGCATCCAAAGTTAGAAGGAGCTATGCTTTGTTCATCAAGCCGCATCGGACCGCATCGGCATGTGCTTCAAACGCGTAGGTGGATGGGGACATGTGGAGAAGTCTGCGCCTGAAGATGGCCTGGCTGCGTTTGTTGATTGTCGGCTGGAACGTGTGCTCCGCGTCTTCAGCCGACTTTTTGGCATTGACATCCTCGATGACCTGACAGCAAAATGCAGCGTTTTTGGCGCAACCTTCAAGGATTCGTGCGTGAGGAAAAAGAGGCCTTGCGATTGCGGATGACTGACCGGGTGATGCTCCCTTTCCGGCTCCAAGGTGGGTAGTAGCCTCGCAAGTTCTGTGCACTCCGCCTGATTCTGAGACTTCCAAGATGCATTTCATGAATTTCCAAGCGGGCCTTCTGCCACCAGCTTCCTTGACTCTGCAGTTATGTTGGGCGGGACCAGCGCCAGCTTTTCCTGCCAATTAGACTTGCTCACGGAGACACAGACGGCAAGCTATGCCTTGCTCGTACCAGACCATTTCACCCTGGCCTGATTGTCCTTTTCCTTTTGAGCGGTTTCCAATCGGGCTTGCTTTTGTTTGATAAATTCCACGTTGCCTCAAACATTGTCACATGCGAGACATGTCCATTTGAACCTCCTGCAGCATCCTTGGGTCATGTGAGATGCACCCAAGCGACGCTCGTAGGTTGCCATGGAAGGGCTTTGGGGACGCGTGGGTGACCTGCATGCTTGGTTTCAAATCGCATGCAGAAGCTGATTTTGCATGGTTGCTGCGAGATGACAACTCCTTTGTTGCCTCCTCTGGCTTCGTGGAGGTGGCCCAAACTGTGTGTAGTGTGACCCAAGCTTATGAGTCTCTGGCCTGCAGGTGCTAACCGATTGCAGATGCAAGCTTTTACTGCGGCATCTGCGGCCCGCTGCTTTCTCTCCTGGCCTCTTTATAGACCACAGGGGCGCAGAGGCTGGAGACGGGCTCCTCGGAGACGTGCTGAAACTAAGAGCACCTTCAAGGCCATGGCTTCGAGCAACATCTGACAAGTGTGCAAGTTACTGCAAGTTGCATCTCAAGATGAAGGATGGCCTGGTGAAGGGGCCGGAGATGTTGTTGTACTTTCGGCAGATGTTGGCCTGCATCAGTCTCATGAAGCCACTGCAACTGCCCTGGCGGCAAGTTGCTGGCAAACTGCAGCAGTTGCACCCTATGCCAGTACTATGCCATCGTATCTATCCTGCGTATGATGCTTTGCTAGCTCCGGCATTGAAAGTTGCAAGTACAAGAGCTCTAGAAGGCTGTAGGACAAGTGTCCAACTTTCGCATGTGCTGGCCGCCTGCGAACTTCATCAGAACATACATCAGTGAGGGCTGCAGATTGCAGCACCAAGGAATCAACCTTTCCACAGGCTCAAGCAATTCTGTCTGGCTCCAAGTCTTCACTTCCTGGCCTGCGCAGAAAGCAGGGTCATAAAGTCTGTTGACACAATGTCAGTCCGCCGATTGCGCTGGTTGGAGAACACTTCATCATGGCATGTCTCCTCGCAGTGTGCCAGTCACGCTCGCAAGTCGTGCACGAAGTTAGATGGAAGCCTCTCGGTTCTAAATTCAAGCATGTTGCCTGCCCTTTCTTGTGCTCTGTGAAAAGTCCTGGAGCAACGCCTCAGCCAGAAGAAGCTGCTCCTCATGCGAGTAAGCTGTCTCCTGCAGGCTGTTCTTGCTATCCACAAGTGCAAGAAAAGGCTCGGAGATCGAGCGGTCTCCTTTGGAGCAGGCTCTTCGGCAACCATTGCGCGGTCCCAGGTGATCCAGGTGGCTCAGTCTTGTGGAAAGCTGCTCTTGGATCGATGCTATGATGACTACTTTGCTGCTGAGAGTCGCACACATTGCGTGTGGAAATTCCATGTGTTGATGCTGATCATGTCATCGGTTCAATGCTAAAAATCACGCCTACGCTCTCCATTTACGCCTTGGTTTGTAGCTCATCGATTGAAGCTGCGGTGGTACGGTGGATCTTCTTCTTCAAATATGTAATGCTGCTGGCAGTTTGGCCTCCAGCAGATTGCGCACCGGAAGAAGCCTGTCGGTGCTGATCTCCTGAGGCCGGGAGCTCTTGACGCAGCAGCCGTGGTGCAAGGAACACGCTGCTGAATTGAATCGCATTGAGAGGCAATAGCAACAGCAAGAAGGGGATACAGTAGCACTGAATTCTCCTGAAGCAGCCATCCCAGCTGATAGCAACACATACGCACAGTAAGGTCAAGGGACATCAACAAATGCATCCATCGCTTGATCCAAGTCTTGAGCCGTGCTTTCAAGAACCTTGACCACTTTAAGTGTGGCCAACCGGTCCAGTTCAGTCCATACTGAAGCTCCTACATTCTGCAATCCATTCGCCTCAGCGTTTGATTCAATCCAGCTTGTGCATTTGGACTTGGCTCACATGCAGCAGAACATTAGTCCTCAGCGTTTTCTGCAGCCTGCGAGAATGCTCCTGTTCCAGGAGAGACATTTAGCTAGAGCCTTCTTGGCCTTTAGAGAGACAAGAAGCTGCTACAGGAGCTCAAAATGGAAATGGAAGGAATGGACGATTGTTATCCGAGCTCCTGCCGTGGCTCGCGCAGCCAGGATGAGAGGAGACTCCTGCCAGGACATATTGATTACGTTGTCGCGAGACATACTAAGCGCGACGTGCAGGTTCTCCAACAGTGCACCGAGCAGAACAGCACAGCATGAAGCTTGGCGGGCTCACCCCCAAGCTGTTCAGGCTGCATGGGTTTGCGCCGTGGCTGAGCAGCAGTTGCATGACATGGTAGCCTCTCAAGACTGCATTGAGTACGCTACCTGCGGCTGCACTGTAGGTGCACGCAGAGACACTTCTGAATTTCAGGTATGACACTGAACATAGGCGGGCATGATGAAAAAGTCTTCCAGGCAACACTGTCTTATATTCCTGCCTTTGCCACTCGAAGCTGCGTCAGATTCGCCAAGGGCGTCAGCGCAAAGATGCAGCAATGTTTGCCTAAGTCATATAATGAACAGTGGCCTCAATAATGGAATAAAAGTCATACCCCGTTCACCGTCTTACACATTTCTACAGCGTGCTGCTACTGAAGCCAAGTTCTTGATCCCCCTAGCCATTTACGGTCTGATTCCTGCAGCTCAGCATACTCATTGATGCTTTCACACTGTTCTTGCTGTGCAGAAGCCATTTGAGCGGCGCCAAAAACCTGGAGGCCCACCTTCTATCCAATTTAGCATTTCATCAAGTTTCTTACTCTTATCGTTTTCCCATGATCTGCACACTCCCGTAAATTGTGGCAGTTTTAGATAAACCGTAGACGCCCAGGTTTTTGTCCCAGCTCATTTGTTTCTCAACATGTCGTGGTGGGATTGTGACTTGTTCTTGCAGGAGTTTTAGAGCGGCTGCGTGATGATGCGTGATCGCGCGGCGACAGCGTATGCCCTGCCGAGGGATCCAATCGCAGCTCTGACCAGCTTGGTTCAGGACGTCCACATGTGTTTTTTGCAACAAGAAGTAGTTTGGACTGCTGAAACAAACCGGTATACGCCCCCAAAATTACAAACTTTTGCGAAGAACCCGGTGGCATTTGCTACTTGTACCTTGAGCTGCTGTGTCTTGTTTCACAGGCGCAGATTGAGAATGCTGAGAAATTACTGAGGGGGCGGAGGTGCCCTGTCAGCTCTGCGTGCTGAAGTTGTGTTGCTGCAGCTGGGACAGTCCTCATGTGATATCAGAATTTTGTGTTGCACTCTTCTGCATAGGCAGCGGGCAGCAAACTCACTAAACCAGTGTCCACGAAATCCATCAGCGTAGGCAGCAAGAAATGCTAAGCTGGCAGACCCTGAGTTTTCACGTTGTTGTGGGGTGTTGATGGCCTGGAATATAGAAAAAATCAAACCATCGGTGTACTGAAGAACTTAAATCCTTATATCAATTCCCAATGCTTTCATGCTCGGTGATAGCAGCGAGGTCCCCTCCAGTGCGCATCGCTCTAAATTGAAGTAGATTGCTCTTGGCATGGCTTTGTTCAGAGCCCGTATGTCGCCTGGGACACGAAGTCTTGCAACGGCGTTGCATGTTGTGACAGTCATCTCAGAGACCCAAGTGCGTGCAGTTGCTTCGTCAGCAGCAGGGCAGTCGCAAGATTCTCTTTCAAGCTGCAAACACTGTCCCCGCATGCATCTCCGCTGCCTGTGTCAAGTGCAGGTGCAAGTGTGCGCTAGTGCACCCAGCACCTCGCAGCACCGTGAAAGGAAGTGGATCAGTTCGCACTCAAGTCCTCAGTGTTTAGATGGACTGCGCTTTCTTCCATCTGTTAATGTGGCACCGTGTTGTGCTGGACCCTCTTTGGTCATTGCTTGTGTTGGGCTAGTGCAGCTCCGTGAGATTGAACTTCCACCACGTCGATCGAGGCTGCGCATCTGTGGTGCGCATACTGTGAGCATAGGCACAGAGCAAGGAAGTCCTGAAGGAACGACCTCTTCAAGCAAAGACGCCTGAGGCTGCAGCCCATTCTCGTCTGCCGCGTTCAGTGCTTTTTGTGGATGCGGTACATCCTGAATCAACATCTGACAAGGCAGTATGTGGTGATACTGTTAAAAACATACACACAGACATATGTATTCAAGTCTATGTTCCTTGCCTGGAGCAGCCTCTTTGTGCCATCAAAGTCCAAGGCTGAGACAGCCAGTCTCAGATCCTCAGAGAACTCTTGGATAGCTTTAGGCAATACGGTGCTCCAAAGGTCTGCAAATTGAAGGCCTCCATGAACTTCTGGAACTGCGGCCGGCTTCCGTTTCATTCGTGACTACGCTATCTTATGAATTCTGTTAGGATGGAGCAGTTAAGATTGAACGTCGGGTCCACTGAAGTCAGCGTGTGCTTTGTTGTAGAGCTACTTCTTGACCATGTTGCCACACCAAGTAAGTGACACAGAGGCTGCTCCCGTAGCCAACGGGGCCCAGGCCGCAGGAAAACAAGCAAGCCTTGAGAATCCGGCGTTTTGTTTAACCACGATGTTTGGGATTTCCTGCGGCTCAAAACCTGTGAAGACAGACGACGACGGCCGGCAAAGTCTGTTGGTTGCCTGCTCCTTGCTTTCTTCGGACAGCACAAACTCAGTCCAGCCAATGCAGGCGCCTGCTTTGTCCTCGAGAGGCTGCAGAACACCGGCTCTAAGTTTTCCTAGTTCCTAGGCCGCCGAGACCTAACGGAAGATTTAGATCCAGTGCCATACACCACCGCCATTGCCTCAAATGCTGGTAGCAAGATCTGATCTTATGTTTGCTTTGCCTTGGCTCCTCAGCTCACCCGCTGTGCCCCTCAGTCTTCGTCTCCATCCTCATGAATGATGCATGTTATGCTGGGTTGATAGAAATTGCAGTGCAAGAAATGGCGGGCTCTGGATAACGCTAGGAAACACTAGCTTCATAGCTAAGAAATGACGTGTGCCCAACGATTTGGTGCCATCTTTCATCTTGCTTGGAACTTAGGCGTTACGTTGTTTGTTTTGGGGCTTCCGGCATCCAAAAAAAAACCCTACGACAAGAAGTGTAGGGGCTGCGTTTCTTACTTTGGGGGTGTTCCAGCCTCTAAACCCGCAAAACAAGAAATGCAAGAGGATACAGTTCTTATTTCCAGGGGGCTTGCCAGCCCTGCAGCTTGAATCCTGGGTTGCGCATTGTCAGTCGCATTTCATTAGGATGTATTCTTCAGCAGAACTGCAATCCTGACAGGATTCCGAGAGTGAATACACAAAACCTTCTTGATCAAAGAAATTTGCGGGGAGATGCGTTTAGCTTCTTGTTTCGAGGGTGGCGCGGCCTTCTAGTTCAAACCAGAAGTGTGGTCCTCCGGCACACGAAACTAAAGCTATGCTTCTTCTTCGGGGGCTTGCTATATTGCACAATGGGGGTCGGAGCCTTTGTGGCCTAGTGATGCCTAGTGGATAGGGTGCCTCTATGTATGTCAGACGTTGAAAGAATGATGGGCTACCCGAACCCCAGAATGAGAAATGCAGTAAGAGGCATGGCACCTAGAACCATGGAGATGTGATATCACTGCAACGTTTAAAAATGACCCTACTCCGGGCAGACCCTACATGCAGCCTGACCTCCACGGCCAGTGAGCTGGCACCTTCGAGTGCTTGTGCCTGGCACTATGCGGGAATGCCGCAGCGGAGCAGCACTGAATTGCACACATGCATGTGAATGCTGTGGCTCCTCCACCATGGCTTTTGCAGATTGCCACGGCTGCCATTTGGTGAAGACCTGCTTTTGACAGAGTTGATCATAGTGACAAGTCAACTCAGTTTCAAGTTCCAACAGCTCTGCTCAGTGAGATTTATGGACAGCTAGCATGTTGGCAGAGAAAAAGACCTGCTTACCCCGAACTCCAAACAACTCAATCAAAGGGCACCTCTTGCCATCGACCTCTGGAATTATCAGCTTTTGCGAGCCCCAGCTTCAGGACAGGATGCGGAGTGTCCTGACAGAAGCTTAAAAGCTTTGCATTAGCATGCAGAATAGCATCACCTTCATGCAAACGGGATGAAAGAGCCAGCACCTGGATTCATCAATGCATTGTGGACCTCTTTATGGTTGGCATGTCGTAGAATTCTTGACGCTTGCGAAAGTAACTCTGACCTGGAGTCATGTCGCACCCCCTTTTTTGCATACGGGCTCGGAATAACAAAATTGTCGGGTTTTTGCAGAATCTGCTATCTATTGTTTGAGGGGTTCGGAATGCTAAAGCTTTTCGGGCCAAAAGGACAAAAAGATCAAAATGTTCTTACCTAAGCCGGGTTTGCTTTCGAGGTCTTAAAGGGTTTTGATTCCAGAGCTCTAGCACCAGAGCCTTTACCTATAAGGCCTCATATTTGTACTAGAGAAAATCCCAAAATCCGTAAACGAGAGAAACCAGATTCATACAAACCTCTTTCTCGGGATTAGACGAAATCATACGATCCATCAATTTTTGTGGGGGCAGTCCACCAGAGATCTGGATTCTTTTTAAGCATTTGTTTTCAGGGTTCGGAATAAAGATACATTTCTCAAGCCGGCCAAATTTCCCAATGTTCAATAAATTCCAATTAAATTTAAAAGGCCCACCCAGGCCTCAAAGAATAAGGGATATTTCACTTAAATTGAAATGGCCCAAGGCCTGAAAGAAAAAAGGAGGTTAATCAGATTTATCTAAATCTAAAAGGCCCAGAGCCTTTGGCTATGAGGCCAGATACTAGCAAATGCATGATTCCGTGAAAGCCGTGAAATCACAAAGTATTTTTTTTGTGTTGAATAGGCTTCCAATGGGCATAATAAGGTTTTTAAAAAGATTGTTATGCTAATGGTATTGCCAGTACTAACACTATGAAAAACAATACCAGCTTCAAGGGTACTACCGCGATTCATGTTCTTATGGATTTAAATTGCGCGGCAACTTTAGGGGGTTGCCCCGTATTACAAAGAATCGTCACTCGTTCAGGGGGAGGGGGTGGGCCCCCTATATTAAAGGGGGTGCAACATTACACGCGCAAAAGAAACCTCCAACTTATGCATGTATCACGAATGTTTGTCCTTCTCCTGTCCACTGCCCTCATCCACAAAGATCTCCCACGTTGAAGCCTCTGGAACGCAGCAGCCACCCAGACCTCCGAAGCCTCAAGACCGGTGCTGAGAAATGTTCAACTGTGTTTTGCATTCAACATGAAGATAGGTGGGCAACACATCGGATACTCGCTGTCGGCCACAAAGTTCACTTGTACGTCACGCGCACCTACCTGCGGATGATGAGCAGAACACGGGCATCAAGAGCCAACAAGCAATCGAGGGACAGAAGCACAACAGAAAGCTCTTTTTCGGTGCATGCGTGAAATCATCGGAGGCTTGGCACAATGCGGCTCGATTGGACCTTGCAGCAAGACGCACCGCACCTTCAGCCTAGTTTTGTGATGCAGTCAGGCTCTATAGTGTTTATCTGCCGTCTTGCGAGAGATGCTAGGCTTCGCGCTTGCGGTGAAGCACATCACAAGGTAAGACATCCCACGCGCTGCTGGTGGGTTGCAGCTGGGTAGTCAGAGCCGCTTGGATGATCATCTTGTCTTCAGCGCAGAACTCATGCAACCTGCAGACAAGCCGGGCGAGCAAAATCCCAATTTGCTTAAAATGCACCAATTCAAGGTGCGCCTGTGATCCGTCACAGCCTGAGCTGTCTATGCGAGTGCTAGGCCGCACAGCTTTCCGTCACACCTCGCTACTGTGCCAGTTTGCAGATGCTCAGGAGCTGGCAACTGTAAACCAGCCATGATGTTGCTGACTTGCAATAGCGGTGCGGATATCGGTCTCATATTGACGAAGCTCATCGTGCCTTCTCAAGATTGCAAGATGTTGGACCCAAGCACTTGTTAGCAGCATTGTTGGCAAGTCAACCGTTATTTACAGCCAAGCCCGTCTCACTACCAGGCCTGCCAGCTGCGGCATAGCAGCACGTGTCATCCTGGGCTCGCTTGGATTTGCGCCTGGCCTGCTTAAACTGGTTCAGACCACTTGACTGCTACTCCTCGTGAAAGATCTGCAGCTGCCAGCGAGACGGCTCGAGCGCCGCCAAGAGGAACTGGCCTCAACAAGTTGGGCCCCAAACCGCCAAAAGGGGCTGCATAAAACCCTGATACAACTTATACATACCATTTGTTACTGAGATTGTTGTTTTTCTTGTCATTCTTGTCGCGTCATGGGGTTTGGAGTCTTATCAGTGTCGATGTTTTTTCTCATCGGTTTTTGGGCTCCCGGCATCATACGGACAGCTGCTGCGGCTTGACTAAAGTCGTAGGAGGGGGGGTCATCTTCCACTTTGCAAGACAAACTGGGTCTGATTCGCCATGTGTTCGGAATCCCGCATTCATGTCAAGGCTTTTTGTCCTGCAAGTAGCACACAAGCACAAAGTCAGCCAAGGGACATTTGTAGTTGCAGGCTTGACAATACGCTCTGCCGACATCTTGACGCCATCCATAGCCTATGTGCCTGCAAGGCTGAGTTTGAGCTGCGCAAGCAAATGTAGGTAGGTGGCCCTCAGCCGTCAAATCCGACTTGAAACCCAATCGCGACATTCATTCCGCAACCGAAAATCTCAGCTGAATACCGCCGATTACGCGTGAAAATCTTGAAAACGCAGAACCGGTCTGCCTTGAGTAATTAACTGTGACATTTCGGCAAGACTTCAAACTCCTGTAATACCGGCCGTCTTTTGTATCATGCTCAAAGGACAAGTGACAGCCCAGAACTGCAAGTACTGCAGCACTTTTCGCACACGCGACCTTGCGCCGTTCTTGAACGGGAACGGCTCCAATTTGCAGATCTGCTCGTAGTCACCTTCAGCAATTTGATGGTTGGAAACTGGAGCACCTCACCGGCTAACAGCTGCCAACACCCAGTGGCCTATGTCACGATTGGCCTCGTAGCCCGCAGAAGACCCGCGAGCAAAACGTAAGTACCACGGCATCACACCTCCCGGTCTCGGAACGGACACTTTCAGATAATGTTTTCTGCTGCACCAAAGCGAGACTGCAGCCGGCAAAGCCTGCAGAAAAGACTGTGCATATCTTCGCACGCGTTACAAGCGGAGGCTTACTACCGTGACAAATTTCGAGCGATTTGCCTGCCACCGGGATCGACGCGGTCACTCGCGGGTCCATGGCTGCAACGAGGCTTGTGGTCCAGGCCCCACCTGACAGACCAGCCAAGATCACCTCCTGTGCTGGTGCTCAGCTGTTGATTACTCTTGGACGTGCATAGTGTTGGCAGGCTGTAAACATAGCCCCTGCAGCATCCAGCTGAAGTCCTTGTTGCCCAACTGCAAGGCGTAGTTGATGGTCAAGACTACCGGCTCACAGAAATATCCTTTGCTGCTACTCCTAGATCTTCTAGAATGGCATGCACCTGCTGCTTTGCAGTTGAAGTGCGCATAGTCGAGTCGCCACTGCTCTCAGGCTGCCTTGGCAGGCTGCGCTGCTTCTTGGCTGTGGGCACCGTCTTCCAGAAAGGCTGACTCCCAGAAAATCCTTATTACGCTCAGTCTCCCGAACCACCAGTGGTCCGACAAGTTCGAGCTGCGCTGAGGGTCGAAATTCACGCCCACTAGCGGCATGGACAATATGAATACCTTCGTGCAAGCTGTCAAACGCGGAGTGGACACAGTTGGACACACGTAAGTGTGGCAGAGTGCGTCTTGCGCCAGGCTACGTTGTGCCCAAGTCTGTGGAAGAATCGCGTGACGTTGTCGAGATCCCACCACGTGAATCCGGTGCCGTTGGAAGCCATCTTCTTGGTATGCTTCGCACCTGTGCACCCCTCGCGGCAGCGATCTTGAGCCCAGCCAGGGCGAACTCCATACTGCCGCGTTTTTCCTTTCGTTCCTGACAGACCAGCAGGGTCAAGCCGATTGAAGGCAAAATCCGATGTTGTATACTACCGTAAAAAGCATGCAATCAAATGTCCGGTGAGAGGTCTGAAGGGGACAGGGCAGACACAATCATGATGTCCATGATGCCACAACACCGCACTTTTGGACTTGCGAAGCGGTGCCGCAAAGACCTGATCCCGGCCCCAGGGATCGCACAAATCTGGCCAAACGAACATGAAGTATTTGCCGAGTTGCTGTGCTTCGGATGCCGTAATCACCAGGTAAGTCCTTACATCATTCAACATGTTCTTTGCTCTCGATGGTCAGTGACACACACAATGACATGACATAGCGTGTCTTACCTCCAGATGATGCCATCACGTGACCCAGCGTATGGCATAAAGGCCAGCGCTGAGCTTTTGGATGTTGTCTGGCTTTGACCTCGTTGGCAAAGACCTCGAGGACTCTTTGCGGCATCAGCTTCGTCAACTGCCAGTGAGTCCCGCTTCATTCGCATTTGCCTAATGCCCAGAAGACAACAAATCTGTTGAAGTGAGTGACGTCTGGCCACCAAAAACAGCAGCAATCCTTGCGAAGCGCTGCTAGATGTGCGAAGAATGCATTCACGACCATGCTCTGTTGCATCTAAGTGCGGTCAGAATTCAATGCTTTCCGCTTGTCCAGCCAACCTTGAAGCAGCATGAAAGGGCAATTGTCACGAGACATCATGCGTGAAAAACATGCTAGCTTGCTAGTGGAGATGGTGGACCATTAAGCGATTTCGAGTCCATTTCATTGGGAGGTTTTCTTGGACAGGCAGCTGGGGATGTTTCCGAGCACGCTGTCGCGCGCAGTAGGCGGATCCAGTTGTCCCAATTTGTCCCGCAGCAAGTCGTCCACCGGGTGGGCAGTACAGCCAATGGTCTGCAGCAATGTCTCGCTACATCTTGCTTCTGCCCTCCTCTTTGCTAACTGTCCCTCCAAGAAAGCGATAGCGCCTTCACGCTTACGTTCACCACGGTGATTCCTTGCGTTCGGGTACCTTGGCAATCTGGCAGTCAAGAAGAACCGCGAGACAGCATGAGAGAGCCATAGGCTGAGACATCTGCAGCGGATGCCTTCCTCATAGTTGCTTCCGCCAACGTCTTGGAACAAAACATCCGAGACAGGGCTATCCGTCAATCCGCTGACGTTGGCAATCTGCTTGGCCCCGTTGGAGGAGATTGCTTTGAAGGAAAAGTTCAAGAAGACTGGTGGAACATCCGAAGCTTGTCCCTGACAAAGAGTTGAAGCTACCTGGCTTCCACAGCACAGACAGGACCGCCTCTGGGCCGTTCCAGGAGCCATACTGCATTGAGATCCTTTGCCATCGACAGGGTCAAAGAACGGGGTGGCTCATTTGACGACAAGTTTTCATTTTCATTTTGTCCAGCGGCTCGATGAAGATCCTCGTCTGTCTCTTCGACCCAGTCCTGCATATGCAGCAGCTGGCAATGGTAGTCGATGGACGTACACGCTAGGAACTGGACTTTGGCGTCAGCCGTTGCAACCGCATGACATGTGTCTAAGCTAGCCAAGATGCCGCGAAGCACTGTGAATGTTCCGGAAGACGAGGTCCCTGACCACTCCTCCACGCCACCTGCTAGCAGTGTTTGAATTTCTGAAAAACCGCCAGGTCAGGCATCAAGAGCTGCGTTTAGCAGTCCCCGCCTGGAAGTCTTTATGAAAATCCCGTGCCAGCGGTTTTCTGGCCGGCTGTCTCCGAACTGGATATTTTCAACCAGCACGTCATGCACGCCGCCTTCCAGCTGTGAGAGAATCGTTATCTCTGGAACATCTTCTTAGATTGCTGGGGTTGCCGCCGCTCATTTCGCTCCCGATGGACAGGCACTTTGACCGAATAATCAAGTCATGCAGGTGTATGTGGGCGCCTGAGATGACTGCAAGCTTGCATCATGTGTAGCGCGGTTTCAAAAACCCCTGGTAAGGCAGCTGCTTGGCATTGCAAAGCTGATGCCTGCCTGGTTGAGCCCACTTTTAATGGCAATGGCGTCATCTCCTGTTGAGATTTCCTGCCGGCCGTGAAGGCTGGATTGAAGGATTGAAGTGATCGGACGAGCTTGCAAGCGCTGAGTATAGCACGCAATTGCGCACGATTGCATTAACCACGGAATCCTCAGTATCCAGGCTAAAGTCTCCTTATGCTCTCATGAAACCCTCATGGTGGAGAAAGACCCAAGACAATGTGGGAGACAAGTGGGCTGTGTGCACATGAGAGCGAGACCAGCATGTCCTCCCAAGGCAAAAGGAAGTGTCAAGAAATGCGGAGCATTTCCAAGCCGAACGCGTCCTGTTGCTATTTTTAGGGTCAACTTATGTGCAGCTCGGAATCTAGATTGATTCCGTCAGTGTTTGGCGAAGAATATGGAGCATAAATATTGACATCCTCCACCTGAATAAGCAGCTTCAGAAGCTCACAGATGTCCTATCGTTCAAGGCTCCAACAAAGAGGTCAAGTTGCAAGTAAAAGGACAAAGTTAAAAAAAAAAAAGAGGAAAAACGCCAGGACAGGTGCAAGCCGAGGTCTCATGGG